CTACTGTACAGCGGCAGGGACAGTGCCCTTCCATTCTTACTACCGTAGTGCCTCAGTGGCGGAGACAGTGCCCTTCCATTCTCACTACTGTACAGTGGCAGGGACAGTGCCCTTCCATTCTTACTACCGTAGTGCCTAAGCGGCAGGGACAGCGCCCTTCCATTCTCACTACCGTAGTGCCTAAGCACAGTGCCCTTCCATTCTCACTAATGTAGTGCCTCAGCGGCAGGGACAGCGCCTGTCCCCTCGCTGTCACTGCAGCTGTTCCACAGCACTAGCTAGGAAACTGAGCCCTTGTCTAAGCCATCTGGCACTGTGGCACAAGGGACTGGGTGTCGTGTCTACTTCACCTGTGTGTTGGTGAGGCCCATACCACCCAAGTCAGTGGGCACTTGCAGGCCAAAGGCCCCCAGCTCCTTAAGGCCTTCCATGGTGCTGTCCTCAATTTCCTCCAGCATGTCGTTCTTCACAGGGTTGTTCACCTCCTGAACAAGAGAAAGAGAGCAAGCCTGTAGCTGAGGGAACAAGCGAACATGCGGCAGGGACTTTGACTGGCGCTAACCAAACAAACTTTCAAATGAAAACAGAATCCGACATTCAACACACAAAAGTGTGAAAAACCACCCCTCACCATTCACTTATTTATGACCCTTTTCAGTAATCCCGCATCTCTCACAGTCAGAACAAGACTAATGTTCCCTGAGGTAGAACTGTTCATCTCCCAGCTGGAGAAAATCTGGGAAAAGCCCAGATTTCATTTCACAGGCAAGAAATGCGAGACATGACAGCCAAACGTGAGCTTAATGATACATGAGACAGGCCACATGTAAAAAGATAAAACCTTATTGTCTGATACAGCCTCCTGTTGCATCCACATGGGACAAGCACGGGCACGGAGCATCAGATCCTATTGCACAGTCCTGGAGCACTCACCTCAAAGAATTTGGACACCGGTCCCACCAGCTCCCGGAGAAACTGTGTCTGCTCCTCGTTCATCACTGGAACACAAGAGACTGTCAGTCAGCCAGGCTCAGCGGGACGCGCCAGCGATTGGCATCTGTCCCCCGACGAGGAGGAAAGCACCACAGACAGATCCCTTGACTCACCCCGGCACACAGCTGCCTTTTACTAAAAGGCACCGACCGAATGGCATGGATTCAGTCCCTGGTGCTGCTGGGCATGCTTCCAATTGCCTCAAGCCACCCAAAACAATGCAGAACTACTATGGCAAAAACATATCCTGCTCTGGCACTGGAAGGTTAAACATTAAGTGAGGCTGGGAAATCTGTGAACCATGCCTCTGGTTCCATAAGTGAAGAGGGTCCGAGGCACCCTTGATGTTGGCATCAACGCAGATGGCTGAGGTAGCACCTGCAGTCTCCAGAAACCCCTGAACAGAGGGTGGTGCGTCACCAGTGGCATTGCTCCGGCAGTGGCCCCTGGGACACATCCCGCGCCGAACCTCAGGCGAGCCTCAAAGTGACCACCCCTCAAACGTGTCAGAATGTGAACCACACTGCTGATCTATGCCCTGACGGTTTACCACCTTATAAGAAGCCCAATGTACATGTAACCATGAAAAAAATAAAGTTCTCTCTCTCTACTCTTAAAATCTTTTAATAAAAAAAAAAACTTCCCCACAGTCTCTACAGCAGGGCCACTCCCTCCCAGCTCAGGCCAGGTCAGAGATGCTCACCAGATGGAAAGGGAAACACCTGAGCAGTGTTGATCTGTCCTTGAAACATGTTCACGGCAAACGACTTGGACTCCTGCGGGCAGAAAGGAGAAAGAGTCAGAGCCGCCGTCTCCAGAAGCATCAGAGGCACCTTCCTCTCTGCCGCAAGGAGTGCGGGAACTTCTCTTAACACCTCACTGGACTGACTGGCACCCCATTTATTCCACTGGATTTCCTCCGGGCTCCCACCCTGCCCATGCTTTGTGTAGAATGCTACTACACAATGAACTATTTAGGCATAATGCTGCAGAAGCAGAGAGCACTGCAAGCTTGTGTACCTTTTTTTAACATAAAATCAATCTTCGCAGTTATTTTATTCTAATACGTGTAAGCCAGCACTTCAACATAAAAGGCCCTAGGAACCAGGGTCATTCCAGCTTCCTGGTGAGTTAGCAGATGTTGATTAGGTGTGAGGGGACTGATAATACGAGGCACTGACTCTTAAAGCAATGCCAGGACCCATCAGACAGCTGGGTGAACTTGATAGTTCCAGCCAAGGTAAGGTACCAAACTTGAACCCACAGATTACCAGTTGGGAACCCAGAATTCTACCCCTCTGCACTGAACTTGTGAACCCACATGCCTGTACCACATGGTTTTTATTCTAGCTCAAGTTGAACAAAGTGGCAATATTACAAAAGCATCCTTGGACTCAATAACATGTCTAACGCAGCAACATATTATTCATCTTGCACAGATGACCCCTCTAATCCACTCTTTTAACAATTTACTCTCCTATTCTCTAGGAGGAGGTAGCAAATGCCCTGTATAAAGACTAAGCAAGCATTTACTTCATTTATACCTAAAAGCCTTCAATTGTTAAATAAGGAAGATTGTTTACAGGTAGGGATCTTACTTTTTATTGTGATTAAGACACCATATGAGGTGATTGTCTGTTTTTAATCTTAAAGCACAGGATTGAGTTCTGATTGAACATTGTTTAATGTTGTTTTGCATTATGGTATTGGTATGTTACTGGAACAACAATCAGGAAGTGTGTAGGCTTCCAGGATCAGCATAGGAACCCTATCCTAACAGACTCCCAGTAAAATCATTTTCATCAACTGCTCCAATGTCTCTAATAAATACTCGCTTTCCTCCCCAAAAAGCAGAGGTGCCTGCTTGCCAAGAGGAGGCTTTAAATTACTGTTTTATTGCAAACATAGAATTGCTGTGTACAGCAGGGAGTCTGACAGCAGAAGCAAAGCAAGTCAATTGAACATCAAGGGACAGAAGCAGGAAGCAGGCCACATTCCCGTTTCGGATCCGCCGCCACAGAGCATCTCACCGAGGAGACAGCCGCCTTCTCCACCTTAGTTCTGGTGGCGCTGTCAGTACTGGCAGCCGGCTTCTCCAACACAGCCTGAAGAAGACAACAGAGAAGAGCTGGGATGTGGAGAGAGTTTGGGAATGGGGAGGGGGGGTTGTCTGTCCCCCCCAGATTGGAGGACTCTGCAGCATCCATTTACATCACATAGTGTGGGGAAGCAGCAAAAAAAAAGCAAAGGAGGTGTTAGGATTTGTAGGTAAAAATGAAGTTCAAGTTTGAGAACTTGCTTGGATGGGTTAAACATAAATGTGTCAGATATAAATGGGATGTGCCTTGACACCTTCCCAGACTGAGGGAGCTGAACTTCGTTAGTCATGAACAGAAAACATTTACGACTGTTCACCTGATCCAGGGAATCAAATTCCTCAAACTTCACTGACAAAGACAAACCAGCAGGTTTCCTCAGCCTGAACAGTGAAACGCAGGCCAGAAGACACAAGTGGAAAGTAAGGAGAAGTGCATTTACAACCGAGGACAGGAGGCAGAAGTTTGGGCACCCCTGGCCAAATTCCGTTTTGTTGATTTTCTAAGTGAAAAGAAGTTAACACAACCTCTGCAGTGGAAAAAAACCTATATTTTCACATATTTCTGCAAATTTTAATGCACAATTACTATTTACGTGTTGAAGTTAACAGATTGAAAAAAAATAAAACAGTAAATGTGCCATGCGCAAAAGTGTGGGCACCCTTTCAGTCAGTACTTAGTAACACCCCCTTTGGCAGAAATCACAGCCTCCAAATGTTTCTTGTATGCCAGCTAGCTGTCTTTCTATTCTTGCTTTAGGAATTTTTTCCTCACCCAAAAGTTTGGCGCGCAAACTTTTGCGCACAACTCTAAACTCACCTCTAAAGGTACCCTTCCTGTGTGCTGAGCCTCAACACAGGTGCCCCAGTCACACTTATTCTGAACATGATGCATTCAGTGATTATTCTAAGCTGCAACCTTTAGCCTAGTTTCCAGGTTGGAGCACGTGACACCACCATGAACTTTCCCCTAGATAGCACTGTAGGAGGCCAGACAGCATAGTTTCAATCCTCGGCCCTTCACAATACTTAGATCTCAGGCTCAGGCCTCAACAGAGCAGGGCTATTACATACCAGCATGAAGATCTTCTCAGCTTGGAACTGATAACTGATAACCAATAAGCTATTCTAGCAGACTTAAGAAAGTGAGATATGAAAAACAAGAAGAGGCAGTTTTGGCCCATCTACATCGTATGGTTATTACGATCTAGACTAACGTGGCTAACCACGCTGAGAATTCAATTCTTTGAGAATCACAAGGAATTGGCTTTATCAACACAGCCAGGTAGCCTGCTCCAGACTCCCACCACACTTTGTATAAAGACACTCTATGCCTATCCCACTCTAAAGTGTTGGTTTATGCTTTAGACAGAATGGCATGCAGGTGCTCAGACAGGAATCCGATATCAATACCACACAGGCACCACTGTACTCTACAGGGCTATCATGCAGAGCACCTGAAGTCTTACACCAACAGCAAGACTTGGACTTATCTGAAGCAAACCGAACGAAGGAAGGGAATCTGGTCACTGCTGGAGCGAAGAGCAAAGAGACCCGTAGGAGGACTGAGGTCAGTCTTTACCTCTGCAGACTGGCTAGCATAGAGGCGGCCATGCTGGACCAGGCAGGACAGAAAGGGGCGCTGAAAGCTGTGGAGAGGAAAATAACAGATGTCAGACTTGACAGCCATACTGGTGCTGCTGGGAGAGAGACAGAAAGAGCCCCCAGCACTGCGGAGTGACAGACAGGTAGGCACACTGGCTCTGCCCAGCGAGACGAGAGGAAAAAAAAGTCAATTTCCTCTGTTTTAACCTCTGCTTAAGGACACCAGTCAGACTTACTGGACGGAAGGTACGTCAGACACGACTTTCGCGCAGTGTTTGCTACCACATTTATCACCCTGACAGTCCCTGCTTGCGGCAAGAGAGATGAAGTCTCCCTTTAAAATAACCTTCGTTACTAAATTTAATTTGTTAAATATCCTAAACATTCCTACAAGGAAATCTCAAGCAAAGTAACATTCACAGACGAATGAGAAAGCACATGCATCACAACAATGGGTTTTAATAAGGATGGGATCAGCGCGGGAAGAACTGTCCCCAGAGAAAGTAGAGGAAAAGCAGAAACCGTCGCCGGACGAACTGAAACGTGACTTGTTGCCAGAATTGGGCCTGTGCGCTCACCCGGTACTCGCCGAGCCCCGGAGCAGGACTGTGCTGCACAGAGCCGGGGTCAGTGTGACTTTCCGAAGCAGCATGTCTGAATGGATCCGGTGAAAACGTCCGGCCTCGGGGAAACGGTTAGATAACTTCTCTTAAAAGCAAACAAAAGGGAGGTTTGTCACAAACTGTTGAAATCTTGTTCTTCAGCTGAAAGGTCTTCAACAGCGCGACGAAGGTAACTCTCCCCTGTGCCAGGACACGTAGCCACCTTTTATCTTGTCAGCCCGGCGATTGTGTAACGTATTTATTTTTCTTTTCTGGACGGACCTTCCTTCTAGACAGTCTATACTCCAAGGCACCGCCCATTACCCCCCATCCAGAGGGCAACCGGTTATGACGCAATTACTTATGCCTCATGGGAGCTGTAGTGTTTTTTCTTGGTACGAAACGTTTGTCGAAAAAGTCACTACCCCGCTCCATTATTTTGTTGACGCCGAATCTGAACAAAACGGTTCACGAACAATAACACTTATCAGCAAGGAAGACGTCTCACTTATACTGCCAAAATATTTTTCGTTTGACTTCACTAGCCTGCCTGCTTTAAATGTCAACAGTTTTCACAAACCCCCCACATGCTGAACGTTACTACTACTAATGAATAGGTAATTAACAGCAAAACCTCTTCCCCTAGTGAAATACTGGGCTAATGGGGTAAGGTTGCAAAATTAAAACTACATTGAACACTTATGTTATTTGAAATCCCGAGTTATTCATGCGTGAAAAAGAAGGGTCTTTAAGTTTAATGGCACCGAAGCACTTCAAATAACGGTTTTCTCACCATCGGCCTTAACCGTCAGTTTCTAAATTTTCGGTCACAGAGAAAATAAATGTTAAAAAAAAACTAGCAAATGCGACGTGTAGAAGACACCCGAAGAAGGCTCCACGGCCGAAACGTTGTGTTTTCTTTCTTCTCTTTTCAGCAGGGAATAAACCTATTACTTGTTCCTTTGCAGCCTACGCATGCTGACGCAGCTACCCACCTGAACCTTTTAAAATGTACAGATACACTGGATCTCCAGGACCACGACTGGTCAGCCGTTATTCCTGGAGAGGTCCGGTCTGTTACGTGACACACGTCAGTTTCTAAAGACCGAGAACAACTGCAAACTAGTGATACATTAATCAAGCAATAATAATAATAATAATAATAATAATAATAATAATAATAATATGTACTGGAATATTCTATAATAATTATATATATTCTTCAGAAAACGATTTCATGGCGATAGTTATACGCAATAGATAACGTACTACTGTCCTAAATACGACATCTTTTACAACCTCGATGCGCCGAAAATTCAGTTACATGGCGCCGTCTCGTGGCCGGATTATAAATAAAAATGTATCCGCTACGGGTTTCACAGCTTTTCTCACTTTACCGCAGGTCAATAAATAGTTGAAGAGTAGGCCCCCGTTTTCACTCCATCGAGCGCTGTTACACATTTAAACAGGTAAATTTGAGTAAATAATCCGGAACAAAGCCCAGCCGCCTCCAGGACCTACAGCACACGGAGCACTATTAAAAACAAACAAGAGGGTTTATTGTGGATCTAGTAGAAATTTATTTGAAATATCGAAAATAAGTGACAAAAAATGAACAAAACGCTCGCAAACACACAAAAGAGAGGGAAAAAACAAGTACAAAGTGTAAAGGCAGTATTTTGCCAGGTCTCTTCATCAGCACCTTGAGGTCGGGTTAAAAAAAACTCCTCTTGGAGCTCCAGTTGTGTCTGCGATATGGAGAACCTCCCCACAAGTAATATCCAGGCTCATTCATGCACACCCCCCCCCCCCAGCTTCAAGAGGGGTAACGTATCGTACACTGCAGTGGGTGCAAACCCCCGACTCTCGGCTTTTCTCCACCACCACAGGGGAACAGGCAAGACCATCAGGGCACAGCGGATAGCGGTCCAATCACCTGCAGGCCCCTGTTTAAACGTTACCGCTGAAGGATGGGGGGGAGACTACATGGAACATACAAGCGTCAGCAATTAAAGGTGTTGAATTAGTGTCGGTGTGAAACCAAAATGACTCAAAATAAGGATCAAGTACCCAGATAGCAGTCCCATCCGTAAAAACTGTGCCCCTCCCCCACCCCCCACCAAAGCCCCAACCCCCCCCACCCACTGGATACAGAACGCCAAAAATGCAACCCTCTACCCCCAAAACCCCCAAGACAGTGAGGATCCGTCCGACTGCCTGTCCGAAGGGTTAGTGCAAGTTAATCTGGGCAAAGACATTCCGGGCGTGGTGCTGGAAATAAACACCGCTCAAGTCTTTCGGCCTCATGACTCCGCTGTCCCTGCTGGGACTCCTCACCGCCTCGTCTGCGGATCTGTTCCCCCCAAAAAATTATCTTCCCTAAAGGCACAATCCACAGCTGGTCACCAATCCAATAGTACCGTCCAGGACTGGAGCTGCAGCAACTAATGAGCTCAAGTAAATAGTCCTTCGGAGCTGAGACATGGCTTCCTCGAGCAGAAAGGACAGGAAGTGCTGCGGGGAAGCACATTCACATTGCACCTGGCTCCTCAGCATTGGCGCAACAGGTAATTGCGGTCCCTCTGGATTACTTCCTGGCAATCAGGCCTTGGGAAGACGCGTTGCTGGAGGAGGGGGGAGTGTCAAGGCCAGGGGCCAGAGTGACGGACAACGATCTGCCCAGGGCCCAGTGAGGAATCATCGGATGATCCTCGACTACACAGCAACTGAAACTTACCAGACGGAATGCTGCAGGTAAGCTCTGCCTCCCCTGATTCAGGACAAGGAGTTTTAAAGACCAGTGCTGGTAGAGTATCCCAGCCTGGACCAGGAATCGGGGGTCGAGATCCTCTTCTGTTCTACTCCATGGAAAACGCCTCCTCGCCATCATCCTTATTCTTCAGCTGCAGCATCAAATAAGTATAAAGGGGGCGTAATGGGGTTAAATGGCCACACAGGAAAACCTGCGGATATTCTTTCTGCTTCCCTGAACACTCTCTTGGCAGGACAGGATGTTTCAAAGCGTCTGATAAATAACATCAAAGGAACGCAGAACATCGCTGGTGCTTCTCCTCTGTGCTGCCTGATGACTTGCGATGACTTTTTTTGGCCTAATTTCCCCAAAGTCTTATCCCGAGGCGAGAGAAGTTGATGTACCCCAAGCAGAAATAATCAATAGCACTGATCAACTGTTCACTCACCCGATCGGTGGTGGGAACAGAGAACAGCCAAACAGTGTGGCTCATTGCGTGTACCTAATTAAGCAAAGGCGTGACATTTGACTGACACGGTTCATTCACTTCGCATTTCACGAGATCTTTCAAATCCAGTCCTGCCTCACAGCACATTTCTGTGGATCAGATCATGGATTCCCTTGCAGACGGCCTCCAGGCTCTTTCAGGTTGTGGAGAAGGATAGAGAGGTCCCTTTCAGCCCTAATCTAATCAGTCTCGCCCTTCTCCCAGGAGTGGGTCCATTTCCGATCTTTTATGTGAATCCGTCCGGCACCAGATCTCGAAATGAATCCCCAAAGATTAGTCAGAGTCTGATCTTTCTAGATGAAGCTGCCAGACGCCCAAAAACCCTTTTCTCAGAAAGCAACGAGGGGGCGGAGGGCAGGGAGTGAATGAACAGCTCCCACTGACGGCGACGTCCGTTCGGTAAGAGGCCTTGTGATTGCGCCGCCGCGACGGCCCGAACGGAAGGCGTCCGGGTTGGAACAGCAGCCGGGCTTGTGCGTGGTTAACATCCCAGGACCGACGTTCGGACTCCTGGGCCCTCTGAGGGCGTTCATCCCAGATGGGCTCCCCGTGACTCGTCGTCTCCCCAGCAGGGGGCGCGTCCCGGGAGCCGTGAGAACCGCTGCCGTGGTCTGCAGGACCCGCAACGGGCCGGGGGAGGGGGAGGGGGAGGTCTGGCTCGGGTCGGGCTTCTCTTGCGTGGGGGGCACGAAGGAGGACTAAAAAAGCACCCGTTTAGGAGATTCCGGCGCCACTATTTCACCATTTAGCAATCCTCCATCACCGTTTGGCTTGTTCGTTTCCTTGTCTTTTGTTTTCTCGGCTACGCTAGATTCGTACTCAATATCCACGGGGGATCAGGGAATCGGGGGACCCTCGCCCCCATCCTGCCACTTCTACAACACCCCCCTTTCCCCCCGCCCCACCCCAGGGAGCCACGACGGGGCGGGCTACATGACGTCCACGAAGAACTCGCTGGGGTTGCCCATGGCCAGGTGGAAGGACTGGCGGCTGGCGGTGAGCTCGGGGGGCACAGAGCCCAGGTCCCTGGTCGGGGGGGCGCCGGGGGGCCCGCCAGGGGTGGACGTGGGGGGCAGGGCGTGCGGGTGCAGGTGCCCCGCGTGGGGGTGGGGGTGGGGAGCCAGGCCGGGGTGGGGGTGCGGCTGGGGCAGCATCATGACCATCATGGGGTTGTAGGGCAGGGGGATCCCGGGGGAGCCGTAGGGGAGGTGGGGCGCGGGGGCGCGCTGGCTGTGGTGCGAGCGCTGGCTGTGGTGGCTGTGCTCGCTGGGCGTGGCCGAGCCGTGGTCCCGCCTCAGGCTGCTGCGGGTGGAGTACTCCGATTCGCTGCCGCTGCCTGAGCGCGAGTCCGCCCCGCCCCCTCCGCCACCCCCGGAGGACTTCTCCTCCCGGCTGCCCCCTCCCCCGCCCGCGCTGCTGCCCCCGCTGCCCCCTTTACCCCCCCGGCGCCTCTCCCCCTCGCTGCGCGTCGACCCGCTGCTCCGGCTGCCTGCGGACAGAGAGAGAGAGAGAGACAGGTGGAACGTGAGGAAGGGGCGGGCGAGAGAGAGGAAGAGGAGGGGAGAAGGACGAAGGCGCGGCCCGTACCCTCGCTGTGCTGGCTGCCCGTGCTGCCCTGGGTGTAGCTGTAGCTGGAGAGCTCGTGGTAGGGGGGCGGCTGGCTGGAGTAGGGGTGGGGGTACTGGTAGGGGAAGGAGTGCAGGAGCGGCCAGGGCGTGGCCCCCGGGAGGGGCAGGGGGGCCAGGGTGTCCTGGTCCGAGGCCCCGCTTGAGCCGTCGTTATCGTTCAGGGACAGGTTGGCCATGTCTGCGGTCGGAGAGAGAAGACAGGGACAGAGAGAGAGAGAGAGCATGTGTCAGCCCCGTGCCAGACCGGATGACATCACCCCCAGCCGCCCGGCTGGCGGTACAGCGCCCCCTGCTGGGCGGGACTCACAGTTCTCGCAGTCGCTGAAGTCCCCGAAGATGTAGTAGCACTGCTCGGAGAAGGTGATCTTGTTGACGGTGTGCCGGATGAAGCCGGCCTTCAGCAGGTTGCTGGCATACTTGCGAGCCTCTCGGCGGTCCTGGAAGCCCTCGATGTGGTGATAGAGCCACTCCACCACGTCTGAGCCTGGAGACACATTCACAGTCAGAACAGCAACTATGTTGGGCATCGTCAATCAGTGTCACTGTACACTGTACTCCCTCCCCATCCCTCTGTCCCACTCTCCCTCCTAATCTCTCACTCTCTCACCCAGGAAGGCGTTGGGAATGGTGATCTTCAGCCACATCCTGTCTCGCACCTCCAGCCCGGATTCAGGGGACGCCATGGCCTTGGCGACAGACGCCATATCCGAGTGCAGCGACAGGTTGAAGTCGTCAAAGCCTGGCGGGACAGCAATGTCAAGGAAGGCATGAACAGATGCCCAGATCTCCCAGTCAGAACAGTCCCAGATCGCCCCTGGATCTCCCAGTCAGAATAATCCCAGATCGCCCCTGGATCTCCCAGTCAGAATAGTCCCAGATCGCCCCTGGATCTCCCAGTCAGAACTGTCCCGGATCGCCCCTGGATCTCCCAGTCAGAACTGTCCCAGATCGCCCCTGGATCTCCCAGTCAGAACTGTCCTGGAGCCACTCTGGATTTACCAGTCGGAACAGTCCCAGAGCATTCCCGGATCTACCAATCGGAACAGTCCCAGAGCTCTGCCGGATTAAACCTCTGAAACTGGTAATGCAAATGAACCCGAAGAACCTCAGTACCGCCCAATGAAAGCTCTGGCTCTGGAACAGTCCAGTCCTAGATTGTCGTCTCCGTGTTGCACCGTTCTGACTGGAGGGAGGCCGGCGGCCGAGGCGTGCAGGTGGAGAATCGGGGAGGGGGGGGGTTGGACTTACACTTACGTTCGGTCTCGGTGACGGAGCTGCTGGAGGTGATGGTGCTGAGGGAGGAGCTGCCAGGGTAGGGAGGGTAGGCGCCCGTCATGGCCACCGAGTGCGACACCCAGGCGGCGGGGTCGATAGGCCGGATGGGCTCGTCTGGGAAAGGGGGCAGACGGGGAGGAGAGAGGGACAGATGAAAGAGACGAGGGAGGAGAGTGAGACCAACGATTGGGGATGGGCCCATTTCTCAAGTCACAGAGCCGTCAACGGGCAGCGGCACAGCGCCAGGCGGATGCAGGCTGGCTTGCGTGGGGTGAGACAGGGCGCCGGGGGGCTATACTCACTCCGGGGCAGGGTGAAGTAGCCCTGCGGAGAGGGGTCCCAGCACTTCGCCACCGTCAGGATGATGGGCCTGAAACACACAGCGAGAGGAGTTTAGTCGCTCGAATCTAATCGCTACTCACTAGACCCAAAAGCCCCAATCAACCCCTGAGCTGCCCAAACCACAGCAGATGAGGAACTAGCCAGGCGACCCGACGATCTCTCCCAGCTGCAGAATGAAACTGGTGCGATTCAGACGGCCCGCGAGGACGCGGGAAAGGGGGATTGCAAAGGCTTCTGGGAAGGAAGGCAGGGCCACACCGCCACCAGGGCAGGGAGAGACGCCCAGCGTAGCAAGTCTGAGGTCACCCCTCTTCTATCTCAGCCCCTTCCCCCCAATTTTCACTTGTGGGTCTCGGTGAGGACCCCCCAACTATCCCCCATCTTAACCTTCGGGCACGACACCTTTTGCTGGTTGTTCTAAGCACAAACGTTCTGCAAGACCGGGGTTCGAGAACCCTTCAGATCTCACCCAGACATGATCATTTGCAGACAGGACTCTTAAATGATAGCAGCAAGGGCGCGCCTCTTGCCTTGCGGGAACTGGGATGCGCTTTCCAAACTGGACCAGATTCCTTTCTGTTCAGAGCTCAGTGAATGAGCCCCTCCTTCTACCTCTGTACCTGGTCTTTTGGTGTGTGAGCTCCCATTTCTAATTGTATCCATCGCGCTGTTCCGAACCGCTATTAAAACACAGAAAGCGATCGGGTAAGGGAACGCCTGCGGACAGGACCAACACCAAGCACCCACCCCGGCTTGTGCACGATCTCCCGGAGGACTCTGACAGCGTCGTCGTTACTCATGTTCTCGAAGTTGATGTCGTTCACCTGGGGGGGTGAGAAGGAAGACAAGAGAGGTTAACCGCGGCTCATTTAGTGTCTGCCTGAAACGGGCTTGTGGTTCCTCTCTTGCAGTGATGGTGACAGCATCAGAGGGGATGGTGGGGGGGCTGCCTAGACTACACGAGCTCAACCCTGCCAGAGGCACACTTACCAGCTGAGCCACAAGGGGGAGCCCTTCCATAAACTTAACTGTAATCACTTCAAACTCTACATCTCTTGCCTTGGGCAACAATAAAGGGGTAATGACAGCTCTTTGTATCATCAGCTTCATCAGAACCTCTTCATTTTATTATCAGTGTAACCAAAAACGTTTTTTTTCTACATTGTTTTTAACATCTTTATAAACATTATGATCCATATACAGTTTACCTCAATCATGTTGCCTGTGATCTCAGTGTCTGCAGTTTTTCATTGCTGACTAGCTCTCTAAATTCTTACATGAACACCAAATTTGTTTAACTGTACTTTTCAGCTTCAGTGTTTATTTTTGTTGCCAAACTGAATAACCAAACCTGAAATCTCAGTAGTTTAAAAGAATTGAAAATAACACAACCATTTAATACGTCTAATTTTTAGTTTGCATTAACTAGGTCAGGAGACAAGTCTCCTGCTCCCACGTCTCCTGGCTCGATCCTGCCTGTGACTGCCCCTTGCCTTAGCAGGCAGAGCGGTGGATCTGCGCCTGTGGCTGGAAGGTTGGGCTCCGTTGGGCCCCTGAGCAAGGCCCTTAACCCCAACTGCTCCAGGGGTGCCGTACAATGGCTGACCCTGCGCTCTGACCCCAGGCTTCTCTCTCCCTGTCTGTGTGTCT